ACTCTTTTTTTATTCATTTAAATATGTTCATAACTGTATATTAGTCTTTATTTTTAATTTTTTTATTTTTTGACAGGCAGAGTGGACAGTGAGAGAGAGAGACAGAAAGGTCTTTCTTTGCCGTTGGTTCACACTCCAATGGCCGCCACAGCCGGCGCACCGCACTGATCCTATGGCAGGAGCCAGGTACTTATCCTGGTCTCCAATGTGGGTACAGGGCCCAAGGACTTGGGCCATCCTCCACAGCACTCCTGGGCCACAGCAGAGAGCTGGCCTGGAAGAGGGGCAACCGGGACAGAATCCGGCGCCCCGACCGGGACTAGAACCTGGTGTGCCGGCTCCGCAAGGCGGAGGATTAGCCTAGTGAGCCGCGGCGCCGGCCTAGAGTCTTTGTCAAAGAATCCTAATAGGCATCTACTAATTTAAGAAAAAGATGCATTTTATTTATTGAAAGAATTAGAGGGAGAGACAAAGAGACAGAGATTGTCCATCTACTGGTCTATTCCCCTAGTGCCTGCGATGGCTAGGGCTGGTCCAGGCCAAAGCCAGGAGCCTAGAACTCCCTCCTCATATCCCATATAGGTGCAGGGGATTATATAGTTGGGCCATCTTCTGCTGCTTTCCCAAGCTCATTAGTGTGGAGCTGGATCAGAAATGGAGCAGATGGGATGCAAACCAGCACTCATGGGTTGCCAGTGTCACAGGTGGCAGCTTAACCTGCTGCACCACAATGCTGGCCCCTATTGTTTTTTTTTTAAATTCAATTATTTTCTGATTCTTGGTGAGTGCAATTTTTTAATTGAAATTATTTTTTTAAAAGATTTATTTATTTATTTATTGGAGAGGAAGAGTTACAAACAGTGAAAGGGAGAGATAGAGAGAAAGGTCTTCCATCCACTGGTTCACTCCCCAAATGGCAACAATGGCCAGAGATGGGCTGATCCAAAGCCAGGATCCAGGAGCTTCTTCGGGGTCTCCCACATAGGTGCAGGGGCCCAAGCACTTGGGCCATCTTCTACTGCTTTCCCAGGCCATACCTGGGAGATGGATTGGAGGAGGAGAAGCCAGGACTAGAATTGGTGCCCATATAGGATGCCAGCAGGTGGGGTATTAACCAACTGCGCCACAGTGCTGCCCCCCGACTTTATTTATTTTTTCTTTATCCAAAAAATTTTTTATTTTGGTTTTAACGGGAAAAGCATTAGATGGATTTGGTCTTAGACAATGAGACAAAAACACAAAATGGTGGCCGGCGCCGTGGCTCACTAGGCTAATCCTCCGCCTTGTGGCGCCGGCACACCAGGTTCTAGTCTCGGTCGGGGCGCTGGATTCTGTCCCGGTTGCCCCTCTTCCAGACCAGCTCTCTGCTGTGGCCTGGGAGTGCAGTGGAGGATGGCCCAAGTGCTTGGGCCCTGTACCCACATTGGAGACCAGGATAAGTACCTGGCTCCTGCCATCGGATCAGTGTGGTGCGCTGGCCGCAGCGCGCCAGCCGTGGCGGCCATTGGAGGGTGAACCAATGGCAAAAGGAAGACCTTTCTCTCTGTCTCTCTCTCTCTCACTGTTCACTCTGCCTGTCAAAACACACACACACACACACACACACAATGGTTTTTGAGTCACAAAATGACATCTATGTCACAAAATGACATTGAGCACACATTTTTCTCCACTCTTCTTTCTAGGAAAAAAAAAAAAACAGTGAGTAATCAATGCTGGAGAAAATCTTCTTTAACAATAACGGTATATTGAGCTATTTTTTTATTTTTTAATGTTTTAAAGGTTTTTTCTTTATTTGAGAGGTAGAGTTACAGTGAGAGGGAGAGACAGAGAGAAAGGCTTTCCTTCCATTGGTTCACTCCCAGATGGCCGCAATGACCAGAGCTGCACCAATCCAAAGCCAAGAGCCAGGTGCTTCTTCCCGGTCTCCCATGCGGGTGCATGGCCCAAGCACTTGGGCCATCCTCCACTGCCTTCTTGGGCCACAGCAGAGAGCCGGACTGGAAGAGGAGCAACCGGGACAGAACTGGCGCCCCAATCGGGACTAAAACCCGGAGTGCCAGTGCTGCAGGCAGAGGATTAACCTAGTGAGCCGGGGCACCAGCCTATTATATTTAAATATTAAATTTTGATGAATATGCACTCACTACGTTTGTTACCGTTGTCCAATCCGCGATCAGTGTTTAACCCATATTTATTAATTGGCTGTTTTGGAGCAACTTGAGTGATGGCAATATCTTTTTCATGCTTCTTTTTTTTTTTTTTTTTAAGTGTACACAGAACCTAATACATTTATTGCAACCCTAGGAAGCAAACTGAGGAAGGCTCAAAAAGGAAAACAATGAGTAAGAACAGAAAGGATAAAGAAGCGGAAGGTCAGGCTGTCACATTTCGTGCTGTTTAATCCCAGGTAGAGCAGTCAGTTTGAAGTCACTGAACTTGAAGGTTTGCTATGAAGGTGTGTAAAACCCTGAGAAGGCATTATTAGACTTTTCCTTTTTGTACAAGATTCCAAATAAATTTTGGTTAAATAAGCTTGCAATTAGCAGTTACATATGCAGCGGCATGTCATGGATTGAGCTGTGCAAACAGTATAAATACTGAAGGGCTCTGGAAGAGGAGCAGAGTGAACCTGAAGCAGAGAGCGCACCGAGGGTCTCCCGCCAAGCAGAGAGAACAGAGTGAGGGTCTCCTCCTGAGCAGAGCACATAGCAAGGGTCTCCTCCCCCCCAGCAGAGCGCACAGCGAGGGTCTCCCCCCCAGCGGAGCACACAGCGAGGGTCCCCCCCCCAGCAGAGCGCACAGTGAGGGCCCCCCCCAGTGGAGCACACAGCGAGGGTCCCCCCCAGCAGAGCGCACAATGTGGGTCTCCCCCTCAGCAGAGAGAACACAGCGAGGGTCCCCCCCCAAGCAGAGAGCACAGCGAGGGTCTCCCCCCACCACAAAGAAAACAAAAAGGGTCTCCCCCCCCGCAGAGTGCACAAAAAGAGGTCTCCCTCTCCCAGAGAGAAAAACAGAGAGGGGTCCCCCCCCCCCCGAGAGAAAATAGAAAGGGGTCTCTCCCCCCCCCCGCGAGAACAAAAAGAGGGGGCCCCCCCCCTCCCCTCAGAACAAAGAGGGGAGTCCTCCCCCCAGCGGAGCACACAGTGAGGGTCTCCCCCCAGCAGAGCGCACAGCGAGGGTCCCCCCCCGAGCAGAGAGAACACAGGGAGGGTCTCCTCCCCCAGCGGAGCACACAGCGAGGATCCCCCCCCCAGCAGAGTGCACAACGAGGGTCCCCCCCCCAGCGGAGCACACAGCGAGGGTCCCCCCCAGCAGAGTGCACAGCGAGGGTCTCCTCCTAGAGCAGAGAGAACACAGTGAGGATCTCCCCCCAGCAGAGAGAACACAGTGAGGGTCCCCCCAGCAGAGAGAACACAGCGAGGGTCTCCTCCTAGAGCAGAGAGAACACAGCGAGGGTCTCCCCCCAGCAGAGACAACACAGTGAGGGTCCCCCCCCAGCGGAGCACACAGCGAGGGCCCCCCCCAGCAGAGTGCACAACGAGGGTCTCCCCCAGCAGAGAGAACACCGTGAGGGTCTCCCCCCAGCGGAGCACACAGTGAGGGTCTCCCCCCAGCAGAGCGCACAGCGAGGGTCCCCCCCGAGCAGAGAGAACACAGGGAGGGTCTCCTCCCCCAGCGGAGCACACAGCGAGGATCCCCCCCCAGCAGAGTGCACAACGAGGGTCCCCCCCCCAGTGGAGCACACAGCGAGGGTCCCCCCCAGCAGAGTGCACAGCGAGGGTCTCCTCCTAGAGCAGAGAGAACACAGTGAGGATCTCCCCCCAGCAGAGAGAACACAGCGAGGGTCTCCCCCCCAGCAGAGAGAACACAGCGAGGGTCCCCCCCCCAGCAGAGTGCACAGCGAGGGTCCCCCCCCAGCAGAGAGAACACAGCGAGGGTCTCCCCCAGTGGAGCACACAGTGAGGGTCTCCCCCCCAGCGGAGCACACAGCGAAGGTCCCCCCCCAGCGGAGCACACAGCGAGGCCCCCCCCCAGCAGAGTGCACAATGAGGGTCTCCCCCCAGCAGAGAGAACACAGCGAGGGTCTCCCCCCAGCAGAGAGAACACAGCGAGGGTCCCCCCACCAGTGGAGCACACAGTGAGGTCCTCCCCCCCAGCAGAGAGAACACAGCGAGGGTCCCCCCCCGAGCAGAGCACACAGCGAGGGTCTCCCCCCCAGCGGAGCACACAGTGAGGGTCCCCCCCCAGCAGAGTGCACAGTGAGGGTCTCCTCCTAGAGCAGAGAGAACACAGTGAGGGTCTCCCCCCAGCAGAGAGAACACAGCGAGGGTTCCCCCCCCCAAGCAGAGCGTACAGCGAGGGTCTCCCCCCAGCAGAGAGAACACAGGGAGGGTCTCCCCCCAGCGGAGCACACAGCGAGGCCCTCCCCCCAGCAGAGCGCACAGCGAGGGTCTCCCCCCAGCGGAGCACACAGCGAGGCCCTCCCCCCAGCAGAGCGCACAGCGAGGGTCTCCCCCCAGCAGAGAGAACACAGCGAGGGTCCCCCCCCCCCAAGCAGAGCGTACAGCGAGGGTCTCCCCCCAGCAGAGAGAACACAGCGAGGGTCTCCCCCCAGTGGAGCACACAGCGAGGCCCTCCCCCCAGCAGAGCGCACAGCGAGGGTCTCCCCCGAGCAGAGAGAACACAGGGAGGGTCTCCTCCCCCAGCGGAGCACACAGCGAGGATCCCCCCCCCCAGCAGAGTGCACAACGAGGGTCCCCCCCCACAGCGGAGCACACAGCGAGGGTCCCCCCCAGCGGAGCGCACAGCGAGGGTCTTGCCCCCAGCAGAGAGAACACAGGGAGGGTCTCCCCCCGCCCCAGCAGAGAGAGCACAGCGAGGGTCTCCCCGAGCAGAGCACACAGCGAGGGTCTCCTCCTCGCCCACAAGGACTCTCTGGCCCCCGATGACTTCATCCACAGACACTCTGGCCCTGCCCTCAGGAGGGCTCGTTCTCTGCCACACCATCGAAGACCCTAGGACACAGCTCACACTCCTTGCCAGGAGTCCACCCTGGGGACCGGCACAGCTGGGCCAGCGCAGCCCTAGTCCCTCCAGCGGTGCCCGCACTGGGGGCTGCAGCACTTGTAGAAGGTGGTCATGGGCTTGTCCGCAGAGCGCGTCTGAAGCTGCATGAAGTAAGCACGAGGATGTTCGCACTTGGGACACGGCTCTGCAGTGGAGTCAACATTCTCCCAGGCGGCCGCTCCCCCAAGCACGTTGTCTACTTCTTTCAGCTTCGGATACTTCCGGTTTATGACCTTGCGGGTGATGTTGTGCACGTAGGGGCAGGTGTTGCAGGCGAAGCGGTGGCAGCGCTGCCCCTCCTCCATGATCAGCCCGTTCCCACAGCCGGGGCAGAAGAGCAACAGGGCGGCGCCCTAGCCCGCGCGCCCCCCTTTTTCATGCTTCTTACTCGCTCCAGTTGACATGCCTTCCTTTTGCTGTGGCATATGACTCTGAATATCCATTTTTAATTGACTGGCTTTAGAGTCTCCAATGGTAGTCACCACTGCGTTGTCATAAGCATGAAATATGTTTCTTATTTCAAAAAAGGGTTTCTGAGGTTGAGTTATCTTGTCTCCTACATCACCATTTTTCTTCGTCTCTTCGTCCAGTTTGTCCTGCAGAGCTCGTTTTAACTCAGCAAGCGGCTTTATGTGTTGCTTTTCATCTTTAGATACGTTTGTTACCGGTGTCCAATCCGCGATCAGCGTTTAACCCATATTTATTAATTGGCTGTTATGGAGCAACTTGAGTGATGGCAATATCTTTTTCATGCTTCTTACTCGCCCCAGTTGACATGCCTTCCTCTGCTTCCTCGCTGACCGCTGACTTCTCGGCCTGGAAGAAGGGTCGCTACCACTGCCGCGCCATCCTTCCTCACCACTGCTCGCCGATGAATTCTTATTTATTTATTTATTCATTCATTTATTTATTTGAAAATCAAAGTTGCAGAGAGAGGGAGATAGAGAGAGATCCTCCATCTGCTGATTCACTCCCCAAATGGCCTCAACAGCTGGAGCTGGGTCAGGCTGAAGCCAGGAGCCTGGGACTCCATCCAGGTCTCCCTCATGGGTACAGGTACCCAAGGACTTGGGCCATCTTCTGCTGCTTTCCCAGGCACACTAGCAGTGAGCTGAATTGAAAGTGGAACAGCGGGGACTGAAACCAGCATAACCAGCATTGTAGGCAGCTGCCTAAACTGCTGTGCCACAATGCCAGCCCCTGTTATTTTTTTTAATTCAATGAGAGTTTTTCCTGTTTCTTTTTTATTTTTATTTTTATTTTTTATTTTTTGACAGGCAGAGTGGACAGTGAGAGAGAGAGAGAGTAAAAGGTCTTCCTTTACCGTTGGTTCACCCTCCAATGGCCGCTGCGGCTGGCGCACTGCGGCCGGTGCACTGCACTGATCCAAAGCCAGGAGCCAGGTGCTTCTCCTGGTCTCTTCATGGGGAGCAGGGCCCAAGCACCTGGGCCATCCTCTACTGCACTCCCAGGCCACAGCAGAGAGCTGGCCTGGAAGAGGGGCAACCGGGACAGAATCCGGCGACCCGGTCGGAACTAGAACCCGAGGTACCGGCACCACAGGCAGAGGATTAGCCTATGGAGCCATGGTGCCAGCCAACTAGTTCTTGATATGATAAGTTTTATTGAAATCCTGATGTTGTCAGTAATGTGAGTCTCTGAATCTCACTTACACTTTGACTTCTGGCAGGTGTTCTGGGATGCTGCTCCAGTAGGAGAAGGGGCTGTGCTGCTTTGCCCCTGCTAACTGGGATAGCAGTCCAGATGCCTCTCTTGACCCTCAGTGACACCCCCAACCTGCCTTGGAGTGGGAGGGGCTCCCTGTTACTGCTCCAATGGGAGTGGAAATACAGGCTCCCTGCTGGCCCTCCAGTGACACCTCCCTGGCTGGGAGAGCTTGGAGAGCCTCCTCGTCACTTTCCTGGGCCTCCACTGCTAACAGTGGAAAGGATGGCCTTCTTACTCCTGGGCATTGGCAAAGTCCTGATTGTCCAGTGGGCCTCAGAGCAGGATGGCTGCCTCATTGTCACCAGGTAAGAGTGGATGTACAGGCCGGCACCGCAGCTCAGTAGGCTAATCCTGTGCCACCACACCGGGTTCTAGTCCCGGTCGAAGCGCCGGATGCTGTCCCGGTTGCTCCTCTTCCAGTCCAGCTCTCTGCTGTGGCCCGGGAGTGCAGTGGAGGATGGCCCAAGTGCTTGGGCCCTGCACCCCATGGGAGACCAGGAGAAACACCTGGCTCCTGGCTTCGGATTGGCGTGGTGTGCCAGCCACAGCGGCCGTTGGGGAGTGAGCCAATGGAAAAAGGAAGACCTTTCTCTCTGTCTCTCTTGCTCTCACTGTCCACTCTGCCTGTCAAAAAATAAAAAAAAATGGATGTACAGACCACCCATATGATGTCTTCTGTCACTGCCCAGCAGTGATAACTGTCCCTATACCACCTTCTCTCATGAGGAATGGGGGTTGGGTGCCTTGTTAAACCTGCAGGGGTAGAAATCCAGGCTCCCTCTTCAGTTTTTGCTGGCACTGATGGAGTAGGACAAGTTTCCTGTGGTTTTGGCTGCAGTGGGTGGTAGTTGTCTAAAAATTCTTACTAAACGACCCCTTTCTTGATGCTCTGGCTAGCTACAGAGGCCAAACTTTTGTTGGGGGCTTGTTTTGGCAATGCTCCTAGATGTTTTAGGTTTCTGGTTCCGTAAGTCCGGGTCTGGGTTTCCTAGCCAGTCTGCCTTCTTTCCGCTTTGCAGGTTTCCAATGTTGCATCTATAAACAGCTCTGGCCCTTCAGTTGTGTTAACAGGAGTTGATCAGATCCGTTCACTCCATCTTCCCGGTTCCAGCATCCAAGGTGTTTGAATGTGGCCGTCTCAGGCTCAAGCCCCCCACTCTCTCGTGGACCCAGCAGCCATTGTCTGCGAGGCCTTGGTGGAGGTGTTTGCCGTAGTTTCTACTCCACACTATTTCTGTGCTGGCTGGTTATTGGTCCTTTCTCAGATTTCTGCTCCTTTTGCTCACTTGTTTGGGGGAAGCCAAGGGGCATGGGTGGGAAAACTTACTCAATAATGTTACTTAAATATATATGTCTGGGAACAAAAGAAGCATTCATTGTGTGTGTCTGATCCAGGTTCCAATCTGTAGCAGAAAACCCTCAGAGTTGGGGAATGTCCGGCCCGTGGGCCATATTAGGCCATGAATTCATTTGGTCCGGCCCTGCCAAGGCAACCACAGGTGGCTGGATTGAAATTCAATAAATCTATAGCAGGCTAATTTTTAAAAAATATTTATTTATTTATTTATTTGAAAGGCGGATTTACAGAGAGGCAGAGAGAGAGAGGTCTTCCATCTGCTGGTTTACTCACCAAATGGCTGCAATGGCCGGAGCTGTGCCAATCCAAAGCCAGGAGCCAAGGAGCCTCCTCCGGGTCTCCCACATGGGTACAGGGGCCCAAAGACTTGGGCCATCTTCTACTGCTTTTCCAGGCCATAGCAGAGAGCTGTATGGAAATGGAGCAGCCAGGACTCAAACTGGTGCCCATAGGGGATGCTGGCACTGCAGATGGCAGCTTTACCTGCTACGGCAATGCTGGCCTCTGGCTAATTTTTAAATTGATCATTTTGTATGGTGCACAGATTTCATTATAAATATCCAAATGGCCCTTGGCAGAAGAAAGGTTCCCCAGCCCTGCACATTCCAGAGCATCTTGTTTGCAGGTGCCCTGGTCATTTAAGCTCCCACATAAACCTGCTTCCCTAGTGCTGCAGTGAGCGGAGAGAGTGGGGAGTAGCTGGGAGACTGTGTCCTCAGTTTTCTTACTGGTGCGTTTTTCAATTTTATTTTTAGGGCAGAAAAGACTGAAGTTCTGAGCGAAGATCTCCTTCAGGTAAGATTGACCTGGTCAGCAAGGATGTTTCCCCTTTTCAAACGAAACCATCTCTGATGCCAAGCTGTTCCACCTGCTCCTCATGCAAACTCTTCAGAGATCCAACTTACCGTCTTTTCCCACCTTGCATTTTGAACGCAGTCAGCCCTCTGTATGTATGGATCCGTGTTTATGGATTCGGCCAACTTCAGATGAAAGGTAGTACAGCATCTGAAGCGAACTTGTACAGACTTTTTTTCCCCTGTCATTAGTACTAAAACAATATAGTCTAACAACTATTTACAGAGGGTTGACATTGCATTAGGTCTTATAAGTCATCTAGCAGTGATGTAAAGTATGTAGAAAAATGTGTGTAAATTATGTGTAAATATTATGGCTTTTTAAAAGATTTGCTTATTGGGGGCCAGTGCTGTGGTGTAGTAGGCTGAGTCTCCGCCTGCGGCACCAGCATCCCATATGGACCAGTTAGTGTCCCAGCTGCTCCACTTCTGTCCAGCTCCCTGCTAATGCGTCTGGGAAAGCAGCAGAGGATGGCCCAAGTGCTTGGGCCCCTGCACCCATGTGAGAGATCTAGATGAAGCTCCTGGCCATTTGGGTAGTGAACCAATGGATGAAGACCTTTCTGTCTCTCCCTCTCTGTCTGTAACTCTGCCTCTCAAATAAATAAACTATTTATTTATTTATTATAGAGAGAGAAAGAGAGAGACATATATCTTCCATCTACTAGTTCACTTTCCAAATGCCTGCAACAGTCAGGGCTGGTCCAGGCGAAAGCCAGGAGCCCGGAACTCCATCCAGATCTCCCCATGGGTAGAAGGAGCCCATGGACTTGGGCCATCTTTCAGTGCTTTCCCAGGAGCATTAGTAGGGGGCTGGGTTGGAAGTGGAGTAACTGGGATTCAAACCAGCACCTATATGGGATGCTGGTGTCACAGGCAGTGTCTTAACCCTCTGCTCCATGGGAACTGAGCATCCAAGGATGTTAGTACCTGCGGGAGTCCTCAACCAGTCCTCTGTGACACTGAGGGACAGTGGTACTGGTTTAGGTGAGGTTTTCAGGAGAGATTTCAAGTCATTTTATTAAAAGCTTCTCAGGTGAGTCCCAGAGCCAGCGATCGCCCTCCCTGCAGTGTCGCCCTCGGAAGTCTTTGTTTCTGCAGAGGGCTGGGTCATGTTGTCTGGATGACTTTGCCCTCACGCAGTGGCACCATCCACTCCTCTGTCTGCAGGTGGAGAAGCGCCTGGAGCTGGTGAAGCAGGTGTCACACAGCACGCACAAGAAGCTCACCGCGTGTCTGCAGGGCCAGCAGGGGGCAGAGGCCGACAAGCGCTCCGTAAGTGCCCACCACCCTGTGCTGCTGCACACTGCCCACTGGGACCATTTAGGTATCCGTGAAGCCACCAAGCAGCCCGTGCTGGGTGTCTGAGATCACAGCCTTCCCGCTTTTCTTACTCGTTAGTCCCAGCTGCAGCAACCCTCCCTACCCCAGGCAGGAAAGGACCTTGTCCTTGACCTCCCCAGAGTGGGCAGCCAGGAGGATAGCAGGGCCTTGCTTGGGCTGTCACCTGCAGGAAGCTTCATCCCTGATGCACACATTCCCTGGTTTGGTTTATTCACCAAGTCCATTTGCCTCAATGGTATCTTAAGAGCCAATGGTGGGGAAAAGGGATTTTGTGGCTGTCGTGGTTACAAGCGCCCTATAAAGGCCCTTGGACATTGTCTTCACCATAAGAAGACAATGAGGAGAGCCTGTTCTCCAAAGCTGTAATGTCTTTGTATTTAACACACACCAGTAATCACAGGCATTGTCTCATTGTGATTCCACTTAACAGCCCTGGAGTAAACAGGCTGGGAAACCGTATTTCCCTCCTGACCCTGACTCCCCACCTCTACCAAAGATTAAAAAGATCTTCCTGGGTGTTCACTTAGCTTTATTGTAAAGAATATACAGCTTAAGGACTTTTTTTCTTTCCCCTTCCTTGAATTGAAAATCTGCATGTTTGCTCTGGGTTGGATGGATTTCAATATGTGTTCCGATGGTCTCCCTGACCCTCCTCTCTGTCTACCTCTGTAGACTGCATGTAGTGCACCCCAGCACTCCCTCTCACCTGCTGCTGCAGTGCAGACACTTACCCTGCATGCTCTGTCCCTGTTCCTGATTTTCTTCCTAACACCAGCTTCTTTCTAAATACAGGTTGACTGTCCGTTATCCAAAATGTGTGGAGTCAAAAGTGTTCCAGATTTTAGAACATTTGCAGGCCGGCGCCGTGGGTCACTAGGCTAATCCTCCGCCTTGCGGTGCCGGCACACTGGGTTCTAGTCCCGGTCGGGGCGCC